GGTGTGGGTATGGGTGGGGTGTGGGTGTGGGTGTGGGTGGGGTGTAGGTGTGGGTATGGGTGCATCGTCTTCTATTTCATTGACACCCACACCCTCAAACATACTCTACCGTCTCGATAAATAAAACGACAATGGTATAGAAAAGAAATGCCGTTCTCCCTATGGTGTATACCATACATAGGAGAACATCTATCTTAATGATAGAAAAAAGAACAGAAAAAAAAGTACCATTATATATACCACACAAGCTATCGAGTTACGACGGCATAGAAATGAAAGAGGAGAACAGACTAGACAATACGATGATATTACACTATTGCAATGATAGTTGTTCTTCTTTCCTATCAACTACTGTCTACTTGTGATATCGTCCCACTAACTCGAAGAAAAATCGATATAGGCAAGACAAGAGATGAATAAGCCTTTAATCGTGAGCTAAAAAAGAAAAGCGCAGACAACAATAGGAGACTACAGAAAGAATGAAAGAGAGAAAAGAGAAAGAGAAAAAAAGAAGAAGCAATCTAGAAACTAAGTTAGTCTGATTCAAGAAAAAACAGAAATAATCTATCTACTAATGGACGATACATCTTCGGTACGTAAAGAAAGAAGAAGCTAGTGTCGTAGAGACGAGAGAAAATACCAAAATAAAGGAAAGAAAAAAAGAAGAGATAAGATAAATAATGAAAACAAAAAAGGTTCAGATAAGTGAGCTTCACATTTAAAGTCCACGTTTGGAGCTCACTTACCCATCCATATTTTACCTAATAAAATGCAGTCCATTATAGCCCTATATAATAAATTACCACCTAAGTCCTTAAGAATTTTATAATTACAGGTAATTAAAATCGTCAATCAAGGATACATTTCCAATTACTTCCGGTTATTAATTACAAACCTCTAACTACTTCCGGTAACTAATGAGATACCACTAATTACACCCGGAAGTTAATGAAATACCTCTAATTACTTCCGGTAACTAATGAGACATTGTTCATTGCACCCGGAAGTTAGAGAAATACCTCTAATTACTCCGCCTAATTAATGAAATATCGCTAATGACTCCGCCTAATTAATGACATACCGGTAATTACACCCGAAAGTTAGTGAAATACCTCTAATTACTCCGCCTAATCAATAAGACACTGCTAATTACACCCGGAAGTTAGTGGAATACCTCTGATTAACCCCTGTAATTAATGAGACATCACTAATTACAACCCGGAAGTAAGTGAAATACCTCTGATTAACCCCTGCAATTAATGAGATACCACTAATTATAACCCGGAAGTGACTGATTAATTAGAGGTATTTCAGTAACTTCCGGGTTATAGTTAGTGGTATCTCATTAATTACAGGGCTTACTTAGAGGTATTTCAGTCACTTCCGTGAGTAATTAGCGGTATCTCATTAATTACGAGGGTTAATTAGAGGTATTTCACTTACTTCCGGGTTGTAATTAGTGATGTCTCATTAATTACAAGAGTTAATTAGAATTATTTTATTCACTTCCGGGAGTAATTAGCGGCATCTCATTAATTAAAAGGGTTAATTAGAGGTATTTCGTTGACTTCCGGGTATAATTAGTGGTATTTCATTAATTACCGGAAGTAATTAGAGGTGTTTCACTAACTTCTGGGTGTAATTAGTGGTATCTCATTAGTAACCGGAAGTAATTAGAGGTATTTCATAAACTTCCGGGTGTAATTAGTGGTATCTAATTAATTACCGGAAGTGATTAGTATTTTTTTTTCAATTAATGAGACTAATTACCAGTAATTGTAAAAATGCTAAGTGGTTAAATGATGAGTTTTGATATAAAACTAAGAGAGACCGCTTTTAGTGGTAAAGTGTGGACTGCAGAAAGCTTGGATCGACATTTAGCCGAATTTGGAGCTTACGCAGCGTGGAGCTCACTTATCTGGACCAACAAAAAACGGGGAATTCAAGGACGCACGATTGACATGAATGAGAACATCAAAAATAATTGTTTAGGATCATAATAAAGAATAGAAGTGTAATATTGAAAACAAGTCAAGGAAAGAACAGATTATTTAATTCGATACAAATCAGTCTATGATCGAGTGAAAAAATAGAAATGAATTTCTTATTGTTTTAGTACATGTTGTTGTCACTTTCTCAAGTTGTTCGAAATGACATAGAATTTTGTGATTGTTAATCTTTTTTTAACTTACTGTGAAATGAAATGTCGTAAAACTGATAATTTATTGGTTAACCTGTTCACACCTCTTCTTTATATCGGAAGAAGAAAAACAATAAATGATTAATGCGTCGAAGAATATTGTGTTGTGTTCTGTAGCAATCGTCAACTGATCACATCTCGATAGAATCTCTAGCTTATATACATGACATCGTTCTATTTACTTAATATCTCTTTTCTCTTTCTTCCGTTGGTTTCTTCCAAGCATCAGCCAATACTTTGAAGTAAATCATTTTTGTTCTCTTTTTCTATTGGTTTTTTTCATCAGAAATCAATATTTTTCTTTGCGCTATACCGTTCGAATACATCATATATTTTCTTTGCTCTTTTATGTTATCCTTCTGTTTTCTTTCGCTCTTTATTTTACCTATATATTTATGTATGCATACATATATATATGTCGTAGGCAAAATTAAAATCCAGTCAATTTTTAATTTTGACTACTCAGAATTAAAATTTCAATTTTATCTAATATATTCTTGAGTGTGGATGTGAGTTTGAGTTTGTGTGAGAGTGTTTCTGTATTCTCTCACAGTCACACCCTCAGCCACAGCCATATTCACATCACACCCATACCCTCTAACCGTCGCGAACATCATCACAACGCTTGCTGATTCAGCGTCACTTCACCTTTATATTGACTTTGCGTTGTCTCTCTTGTTACCCAAACAGACAAAAGTTGTTGAAAAACGCGTAGGAATATTGTTAAAACCATCTTGAGGGTGTGAATGTATGTGTGGCTGTGGCTGTTGCTGTGGGCTGCGGGTGTGTGGGTGTGAGTATGAGTAATACTGAAGTGAACACCCACCCTCAATCTCTATTAACTTTGCATTCTCACTTGGAAACACTAATCAACAAAACTGATGAACCCATATGAAACATATTTTACTTCAGTTTATTTCTATCTGTCAAAGTTCCTATGTATTTTTTCATTGTTGGTTTAATAATTGTACGGAAATACTTTAATTCACTGATCGATTGTTCTACACTGTTTATAAATATTAACTATAAGATGATATTTTAACCCTAGCGAAACTACTCACCATACCAGTATTCATTTTGGTCTCTTTCAGAATGTTTATTAAAACAGGTATGTACTAATACGTAAAAAAAAAGATTCATGTGGTCCCCGTTTTAAGGAAACTAACAAGTTAAGGGAAAACATGAAAACCATTAAAGAGGCACAAGAAAAGAAATATGATTGGTTATTGATATCACAAACAGAAACGATTTTATTGATTGGTAGTTCATACAGTACCAGTTAAGGAATTGATCATATTATTATATTAGAAACTAAAACTTTTTTGAATTACTTTGTTTATTGATAAATGTTGGCAGTGTAGATGAACGTCGACCAGTTACACCCGCACCTTCATCCATCTATGAGATAACTCGAC